TGAATACCGACACAGTCAGACTTGTCCAGTAAGAATCTTCTCCAAGTTTCTATGGCCTTTGAACATTGCCCCAGGCAGTTTTTAATGTGTCCTTATATTTTAGCAACAAGATGTCCCAAGCCCATTTTAACAGTTTTTTTTTTTTTCAGGTGCTATAGAATTTGGTATCAGTTATCTTATACTCATTCTCTTAAAAGAAGAAGAGTGTTAGAGACCAAAATACAGGAATTAAGGCTGCGTGTCAAATTATTGTATGGTGGTAGGTTGACTATATAGGGCCACACTGGGCCTTTTTAATAATAAAGCAGACAAGAAATTTCTTTATTAGGTTTACATTTATTTTAAATTTTCTCTACCTAACATCTTCCTCACAATAGAAACAAAATGAACATTTATGTAGCTTCTATAGTTAAAAACTTATATGTGTTAAATCCATCATTACAAAAATTCCTTAAGACATAGGGGGTGTGTGTGTGGCATAAGGTAGATCATACACATTTATATATTACAATAGCTTATCATAAATGCTGTGGAAGAAATTAATGAGAAGGCGCAATCATTGTCAAAGGCCTTCCTTAGACAATGACATTTGAGTTATAATGTAAAGGAGGAGATAGGAAAGAAATGAAACTTTTGGTACAGAAAGGTTAAGGAACTTGTTCAAGGTTAAATAGTAAATGACAAAAATGTAATTTAAACCCGTTCATTTGTCCATATTCTTTACTCTTGACAGATGGATGGATGGATGACAATAAATACTTGGATGGGAAAGAGTTTCCAAATTCCCTGGTAGATTTAGGCAGCCATTTGGGAAGGAGACAGACTGTATCAGTCCAGACAAGTTCTGACAGTCTTCTCCCCTGGATATCAAATAATTGTTTACTATCTTCCATGTGACTTCATGAACATAGGACTAATTATCATCCCAGTTTCCTAAACAACAACCTTATACCCCTAAGGAACTAGAGCCTGAATTTGACCACCAGCTGTTGCCAGGGGAGAATAAAACCCCTTTGTTATTGCAGGTCACAATGACCTTGCAAGAAATCTACAGAGATTTGCCTCATTTTTGAAAAGGTTTCCTTCTGGTAGAACTAATTCACAGCTCCCATTGAGAGACATGGTAAGGAATAAAGCATTTAATGTGAAAGAGAGACTATTTCTTTCAGGGTCTTCAATGCTTCTATAAAAAAGATAATTTGTATGAAAGACCTTTATCAATTGAGCACATTTCATCATCATCATTGATTCTAACCTCTATTCTCTAACACATTCACTAGGAGCTCTTAGTCAACAGTCTGAACACACTATTATTTTTAGTAAGTTTGTATTTATTTCCTTGCCCCTAAGGCTAATTTTTATTGTAACTATATTGCATTTTTACATCCACTTGCCTGTTTTTCTCAACTGTCTAGTGAAGATTGTTAAATTTATTAGTTAAAAACTGAGTTACTAAGGTAGGAAGAGTCTAATAGATCACCAATATTGTCTATGAGTGAGGAAACCACTTGATCAGCATCTGGAGATTCAGCCTGGATCTGTGACTTAGTGAAAAAAGGAAGAAATATGTATTAGTTGGGGATTCTTGAATTGGATAATTGGACCAGGAAACTCATTTTTCTCATGAAGTCCTGAAGCTATACAAACAGCACAGAGCCCTGTAATGAAAAAGGCAGAGAAATAAGAGCAGGCAGAGGGACCCAGCTATCCTGGGTCTGATAGTATCCTTTCCCTGAGGTACTATGCTCAAATTAAGTAATTCTTTCTGTGAACAACATAGTCACACAAATTCAGAATTATTTAATTCACTGATTCCTGTTTTACTGTAGGTGAATGCTAAAGAAAGCATCAGTTATATATAATTAAATATATGTATAATATATATATATGCATTGTTTATGTAGGAATGGAAATAACTGGTTTTGTGCAAAATACTTTGTAAATTTGGTTTTATGAAATATTATATGCAAATCTACACATTTAATTCTAGAATAATATACTTGTAACGTCAAGTTCTAATTTGTATAATAAAACAGGCTTTACAATCTTAAAAAGGGCACTTAGGTTTTCAAAAGAAATACTTGCTCACTAAGTTAATAATGAGGTTCGAGTTTCAGTAAGTAATTATAAATTTTTAGCAGAGAAAAGGTATTGGTCATCAAATATATGATGCTATTTTTTGTGTCTTTTGTAGGAAGGCTTTTTCTTACTGCTTTTTGCCATTTAAAGTGGTTGTGCTCATGTTCTAACAATAATTGTAGAGGTTTGAGTTATTATAAACTTTGAATATCAATTCCTCCCTTTCTATGACAGTTCTACCACTAGGGAAGTCAAGCTTGCAAGGTCTAATTACTGCAGCATTTTGATATCCCCAGCTACAGTATTGGCAGGAATTTAAGCCATGGTAGAATTCATTGGTGACACCATTGTAACTAAAAGTAGAGAATCTGTTTTCAGGCTTGTTCAGGATTGAATCAAGTATTGGATGATGTCAAATACTCTTGCTGTAAGTTCAGAAGTGCCTTGGATGATGCTAATATGAAATGCTAATTATTTGCAATAGAATGTAAATAAGGTGGCACTAAGTCTTATTTGCAGTGACTAATGAAAGCTGTTGTACTGTAATCAGTGAGATACAGAGCAACAGGGCAATTCATTAGGAAAACCGTAGTTGACAAGCAGTTAATGCATGCCAGTGTGGACCTTCCTCTTGCTTCTGTTCACTTCTATTATTTCTTCTCATTGATAATAATAAGTCCCATATGGAAAACGTATAACAAGGATAAGAAAAAAACTAGCAGCTAAATTTTGCCAAGCTTTGCTGAATAGCTACAGATTGTAAGTCTTCTTTAGCTTTTCTTTGCCTGTGAAAAACAACTGCCATATTAGGCTGATTGAAAACATAGTGATTTTCTAGTCAGCAAATTGCTAGCCTGAGAATTTTTCATGTTATCTCTCTAGACTTGAGCAAAGTTTAACTATGCTACAAATTATCTTATTTTTCAGATATATATAACATTTCAAAGTTGAGCTACATTTTCACTTCTACTTTAGCAGTGAAGCAAATAAAAACACAAGTGCTTGATACTGCTCTCCTTGTCTTTTAGAGCACATGCCTTGGTAAATAAAAGTTGTAATTCTTGGAATAGTTTTTCTGCTCTAGGGCATACATTCATCATGGCAAGAACAGTGCAGACATATACTGTATATCAGGATGTGTACTGATATATTTTGAACTTATATAACCAAATTTTTAACATATATAACTATTAAAATAAACAGCAGAACTAGGTTTTATTTCCCACAGATGGAAAATCAGGAAGGTGACTTCTGTTGTGACTACCATAGAGAAAAATCAGGTCATTTGATTTAGTATTTTATGGCCCATCTCTCTTTTTTTTCCCAAAGAATTTGAGGTGACTTTGCTAAGGATGAAGGATGAAGAAGAAACTGAAAAGTCAGTACTGTGATTTATTTCTGAGCTTCCTGACAGCCAGGGGGAAAAAATGAAACAGGGCTGGTGATAGAGGCCAGCACTTGTGCTGCATCCCCTGAGCAAACACTTACTTAAAGCTAGGTTTAAGGAAACAAAATCTAGGAACTGCTGAAAGTTTGAGACCAATTAAGAGCTTCATTTACTCTTTACTTCCATTCTTTAAAATGCTGTAGTTATCCACAGTGAGCTCTTTCCTCCTGCCTGCAGGTGAATGTACACCATGTAGGCCCTTAAGCAGCTATAGAGTAAGTTCACTCTGAGTAGCAGTATCTGCAAGGGCTTTTCTGCAACTGGGATTTCCAGGTAAAACATGAAATGGTCAGGTAAATTTGAATTCCAGATAGTAATGAATAGTTTCCTAATATCAGTATGTCCCATAAATATTTTCCAAATATAAATATTTTTCAAATATTGCATGGCACATCCTTACACTAAAAACTTATTATTTATCTGAGCAATTAGTTTTCCAAAATACACATTTAATTAAATATCCTCATTTTTTCCTCCTTGCTGCTCCCCACCACCACCACCAACTACACCCCTTCTCCAATATACTCTTGACTAGATCAGATTTCAGAACGTTCATGTTTTGTGTCCTTTTTTTAGTTTCAGTTTTCCCAGTTGTCCTCATTTTTTTTTTTTTTTTTTTTTTTTTTTTGGTTTTGCTAAAATTGGGAATCCTACCCACAGCTTTGCAGGTAAGCCTCATACACTATAATACGGGGATTGTCCCTCTATCACAAGGTCTGAGACTTCCAGTGACAGCCAATCAAAAGTCTTATTTTTCTTCTAACTTTTGTTGAGAATACTAATGGGGATAAAGAGCAAGACCATGATAAAGAGACTTAAAAGAATCTTTAAACAGTGTTTAATAAACTAAAAAATTAATCTTTATCAATAGAATTTTAGTATTTCTAGAGAGCTACCGACCAGTGAGAAAAGACCTCTCTCCCTCTCCCTCCCTCTCTCTCCCCTATTGAAATAGCCAGAGACCCAGCATCCTGTGGACGTGAAATGGCTGCTTGGCAAGAGCAGATGTGGCACATTTCAGCACCCCATTGCCTCAAGGAACTAATGGGGCCTGCAGTTGCCAGGACACTGTTTCCATAAAGGAGGGGCTCAGTGACTTTGAGCAGCTTAGTTTTTGTTGCACTTACTGTTCTTTTATACGTGGGGTTTTAAATCTTGGATAGTATTCTGGAAGTACTTTATCTGACAGTCTGGACACTTAAACTCAAAGAACTCTTTTAAATTGGCCTGTCCTGGACCTTGAACACATCACAGCTTCACCAGCAACACATCTTCATTCCAAGTGGGGGAAAGCAGAGTCAGCACCCATTAGTCCCTGAACATTATTTTGGAGTGCTTCATTCCTTGTAGACCTTTAAACCCTGCAAATAGGAAATCCATTTCTTGGAAGGGGTCTGATATGCTGGCATTTGTATAGATCAGGGTTCAACTGCAGAGACTAGAATCCAGTTTAAGCAAAAACTATAATGGCCTATTAATTGGATTATAGAGTCTTTGGGAAGATTGGAGAAATGATCTAGATTTATTTGATGAACAACATCCAAAGTCACAACACAGACATCCAAGGCATATGCTCCTTGCTCTGTGACCCAAAAACTGCCTGCTGAATTGTGAAACCTTCTTCAGCTACCAGCTCTAGAACCTCATTGCCACTCCCTGACAGGAAGTCCCTGGGATCAGGAAGTAACCTGGTTATTGCTAGCTAATGAAACTCGTAGTGTCTGATACGTTACTCACCAACACAACAGGTGTCTGTCCCCCCTACCTCACAGCACCCACAAAGCTAGATATCAATGGTTGTCGTGATGCTGTGAGAGAATCCCAGATGCTTTTCAAGTCAGACTTGGGAACAAAACCAGCAAAAACATGGCCTCTGTCTCATTTACAAATTTGGGCATTCTCATAGGTAGATAAAATGGAAATTCATGTCTGTAACTAGGACAGATATTCTTGTTTACAAGTAATAGTCACAAATTCACCTTAGAGAAGGTAAATATCATTAAAGGCCATCTTATAAGGATCTCTGATGCCTTTTGGAAAATATTTCTAGGGACCTTTCATAAGTTATATCATTATTATTTCTGTCTACAAGGTCATATACCAATTCTAAAATAGTGGCAAGGTTTTTTTTGTTTTTTTAAACCTCTGACCTTGAACTCCTAAGGACTTTGAACACAGACTTTTGACAGGGACAATTAGGTGTTCAGGACAATGTTTTGGTAACTGTTTTATATAAAATGTGAAGGCTTCTTCCTATGGTTGTAGTGTTCAGAAGCATTTGCCTTGTTTTTTTCGGTGATCTAGTGAAACCTAATCCGTGAAATGGCTTAAGAAGCTAGTACCCTTCTGCCACTACTGCCACAGTGCTCGGAAAATGACTTCGCAAGTCCCAATTTCTATCTGGATTAGTTCTGCTTTGGTTTCTCTGGATTTAAGCAAGCTACCTGAGGGAATGGAATTTCTTCCTTCTTTCACCTACAGTTATGATTCAACTGATGCCAAGTGGGGCATGTTCAAGTCCACCCAAGTGTTGTTTGCTTGCCATATAGCCTCTTTCCTCATTTTCATCAGGTGGACATAAAGCAAACAGCTTCCTAAGACAACAAGAGGCAAATAGAGAAGAATTAGCCATAGTCCATAAAAATCTATAGGGTCGTCACACCATTTTTTTTCAGTCCCTGGAATTTTCATTTTGTCTGACAGAGAAACCCACATCATCAATTCACCTATTTTTTTTATACACATGTGGAAATGTTGACAAATAACTTTGAAAGAATCATGAGTTAACAGCTTAAGTTCTGAAGTGTAGCTCCTCCTTTTTTTATTACTTTAGGAACCGTACTTGTATAAAAATCACAGTGCAATAAATGCAATAAAAATCATCTTTATTTATCAAAATAACGTTTATTACCAAGACATGAAAAATGGAACTGACAAAGTGAGTTACACATTCCTATCAATCTTTTGAAAGTTTCATGGATTTGCTCAGTAAAAAGACCTTATTTGCAAAATCCATTTCAGCTATTCTAATCAAATTTTCATATAAGCTGGATATAATTGTTAACCATCCCTTTTGGGATGACGTGTGATTTTTTTTTTTTCCAATAGAACATCAACAACAAAAAGATGTGCAACAGTGTAAATGTATAATATAAATCAAAATTCTTGATTTATGTACTGTGTGGAGAGTTACTTGTAGAATTTTTCAGTATAAAAATTGAGTCAAATGTACATTTTGAAAGTTGTATGCGTTGGGATTGCTTTTATAGAATAAAAATGTTTCTTAAAATCATGGGAATTAGGACTAAGTTCCTATATTTAATTACTATCAATTCTATGCCCTACCCAACCTCAATACTTTATTAACTTTCACTTGGAGATTATCACATATGCTAGTCAGTCACAGAGAATACTTGCACAGGAAAATGAGTTATTGAGGCAGATAAATAAATGGGCTTATAATATTTGCTTACTAGCTTAAAGAAACTACCAGAAACTGTGTTCTGCTAAGCTTCTACTCAAAAATTCTAATCTTTTCCCTCTGTGTTTGCCTAATGTCTTCCTCATTCATTGAGCTTTATGGATAACTGTCAGGCATATACAGAGGAGAGCACTTTCCAATGGTGATGTATTTTATGACACCTCTTTGGTTCAACCAGTCTTTTCAGGCAGCCGTCACATGCATAACTCCTGAACAGACGCTGCTGTTACAAGGTGAACGCATGAGTTCCTGTTTTGATGGAATTTTCAGTTTGCAGAAGAAATTAAGATTTAAATCACCTCATGTTTATTAAAATAAATATTTCATGTCTACATTACATGATCTTTTGCATAAAATAAACTTAAATGTTTTCATTAAACAATAACAATTTCTAAAGTTTCACAGGATTTTGTTCATTGTTAAGAATTTAACTTTTCATTAATTTTAACATAGACTGGTTAAAATGTTCACATAGTTCTAAACTGAAATTTCAAAAAAAAGATAAAGTGAAAAATCCCCATCTTCCCTTTCTCCTTCAACCAACCAATTTTCCCTCCTCAGCAAAAATGAATATTGATTATAATTAGATTCCAGTACATATAAGAAAAAACTCAAATATTGACTTAAACGCTTCACAGAAATAGAGAAATTCAGAGGTTTTGGTCTGTTGCGTGTGTGAAAGTCCACAAAGTGATCCATTTTACTTGACAATCATTAGGTCTCATTCACATAGACTGTAAATTTTTGATGGCGGGGACAAGTACATAGGTAACCAGTGTAGAGTTTGGTAACTCTTTACCCTCACTCTATTTCTGGACAGCTACCCCTGGGTACGCTGTGCTATGGTGCCTTCCTTTTTCCTTTGGCCCAGACAGCTTTGTTGAGCCAGGTGTCAGTGTGTACTTCTGATGCTCCCATATCCTTCATGACACACTTCCAGATCTCTCTGAGTGCCAAGGGGCACACCTCTTGAAGCCCACCCCACAGATGTGCTGATGGTGTAGTCTCTGCTCACCTCTTTGTTGGTGACTGCGCAGCCCTTCTTCTCACTACTCTTCTGGAAGGGAACCATCTCTACTGAGCCCAGGTGGAAAAGGATGAGTGCAAAGGATTTTCTCCTTCCATCTTTATCCTTTAACTTCTAATCTCAAATCTGCTTCTTGGTCCAGTTTGGTTACTGGTGCGCTAGCTGTGATTTCTGCATTCCACAGAGGAACTGAAAGAATTTTCCCCTACACCAAGAAAAAGAGAAGGAGAAAGACATTCAGCTTACAAGGGACTCATATGAATGGGATGCAGGTAGTAAATAGGCCTTGAGTAACTTGTTAGAAAGGAGTGCTTGGAATGGTATGTTACCACAGACAACAGCAGTCAAGGCAGGCTTCAGTTATTTTACCTTTTTGCCCAAGGCCAACTTCTTTTCATAACTCTGTGTATCATAACTTGCAAGTTAATTCATTCTTTATTAAAACATAGTGTTTTATTTGTTAACTAAAATTTTTCCTAGCAATGTGAAATAGAACTAGTATTAAATATTTGATAGATATCTTCCCTAAAGTTAAAATGTGACTCTCTCTACATGCTGTATTCGGTTCAAATTACAAAAGTACATTTGTCCCGTTTCACTAAAACACTATTTTTCACCAAGGCATTTTATTTTATGACTTAATTTCAGAGGGGAAAAATATTCTGGAGGGGGAAAGTATTTTATAGTATTGTAGAAAAAGCAGTCTACTGTTTTTTTATGCTCCAGAAAACTGGGAGGGCATTTTAGAAAGATGCATTTTCCTAATAAGAGGCAGATCATGAGATAAATATCAGGGAAAGAAATGGACTATCTGTCATCTTTATATTATACTTATTTCGGGGTTGAATGAATTCTGAATACACACCACACACACACTGTTTATAGTGTGTGTATGATTTAGGGGACTAGGTCACACCTCTTCAGATGTATGTTACCACACTGCATCCACCCCCAGAGCACCCATAGTCTTCCACCACAATCCACTGGGCCTCCTCACCTCTTTGTTTCCCACCTAACCCTCTTCACTCTCTAGTAATCTCAATTCTGCAGTCATATTTCTAGCATTTGTTTGGCTTAGTTTTGTCTGTTCCTTTGTTTTGTTTCTTTGTATTCCACAGATGAATGAAATCATCTGGTATTTTCCTTTTCCTTCTGGCTTATTTCATTTAGCATAATTCCGTCCACTTTTACCCACAAGATGGCAAGACTTCAACTCTTTTTTATAACTGAGTAGTATTCCACTGTGTACATATACCACAGGTTCTTTAATCCACTCAGGTTATTTCCACTTGACTATTATAAATAGTGCTGTAGTGAACACACCATGTATATAAGCCTGCAAATTTGTGATTTTTTTTTTTTTGCATTCTTTGGATAAATACCAAGGAATAGAATTGCTGGGTCATATAGTAGCCCATTTTTAATATTTTGGAGGAACTTCCATATGTTTTTTCCATGGAGGCTGAACCAGTCTACATTTCTACCTGCAGTATATGAGGATTACTTTTTCTCCATACTTTCAACATTTGTTGTTTCAGTTTTTTGTGCATGGTGGGGCTTTTTGTTTTTGTTATGGGCCATCCCAACTAAACCGAGGTGATATCTCGTTATGGTTTTGGTTTGCTTTCCCCTGATGATAAGTGATGAGCATTTGTTCATGTGCCTGTTGGACATCTGTTCGTCTTCATTGGAAAAGTGTCTGTTTAGCTCTTCTGCCCTTTTTATTAATTTGGGTTTTTTTTGTTGCTGTTGGATTATGTGAGTTTTTTGTAAATCTTGATTATGAGCCCCTTGTCAGGTATATGATGTACAAGTATTTTCTATTTGCTTGGATGTCTTTTTATTTCCGTGATAGTTTCCTTTATTCTGAAGAAGCTTTTCAGTCCGATGTAATGATTTCTTTATATTCTCTTTTGTTTCCCTTATATTGCAGTCAAGTCTCCCAAAGACATCACTGAGGTCAATATCATAGAGAGTTTTGCCTATGTTTCTTCTCTGTATTTTATAGTTTCAGGTCTTGCAAACAAGTCTTTAATCCACTTTGAGTTGATTTTTATGTATGATGTGAGTGTCTAGTTTCATTTTTTGCATATGATTGTTTTGTTTTCCTATCACTGTTTGTTCAAGAGACTTTCCTTCCTCCAGTATATGCTCTTGGCTTCTTTGTTAGATTTAAGTCTTTGTTAGATTTAAGTGTGGGTTTATTTTTGGAGTATCAATTCTATTCCATTTGTCTGTGTATATACTTAGTCCAATATATAGTGTTTTGAGAACTCTAGCTTTGTAGTATAGTTTGACATCTCCTTTCCAGGAGAATGGTATCTTCATTCCTCTTCTTTTTTGTCCTGATTGCTTTGACTATTTGGGGTCTTTTTGTAGTTCCATATAAATTTCAGTAATGTTTTCTCTCTTTCTTTGAAAAATTCCATTGAAATGTTGATAGAGGCTATGTTGAACTTACATATTGCTTTGGGTAAGATGATCATTTTAATATCATGAATATATTTTCTTTATCAGTAGAATTGTGGGGGCACTGTTACTAAAACCATTAAACATGAAGTATTCTCACAAAATCCTTGATAAAATATTTGAAAAACTATTATTTAATTTATTTCAGCTCTGCTGAGGTATGACTGACAAATTTGGAAGACATTTAGAGTGTACAACATGGTGATCTGCTACACATGCCCATAGTGACAGAATTGCCCCAAGTGAATTAATTAACATATCCATTATCTCACATACTTACTTTTTCCCTTTTTGTCAAGAACATTTAAGTTCTAGTCTTAGCAGTTACACAATACAGATTATAAACTGTAGTCACCATGACTTGCACTAGAAAAGACCTTATTCATCTTATCACAGGAAGGTTAACCAGCCTCTCCCTATTTCACCCACCTCCCACCCCTGACAACCACTTTCCCACTCTATTCCTATGAATTTCATTTTTTTCTTTTTTATTTTGCACACAATGACACTAGCTGTATTTTCTTTCTCAGGCTTTGGAAGCTTGCTTATGGTGGTTTCCTTTCTACCTAGTATCATCTTAACAGACACATCACATTAAGCAAATTCATTAAGGTTTTCACATTCAGTAGCTATGCATGGATTAAGTAGTCTGATTTATTTAGGCCAATAACACATTGGTATTTATAACTTATAATGCTTTTCCTTGAATAAAATACTATCACTGTCTCTGAAATTTGAATAGATTGCCAAGTGCTAAACAGATTTGATTTTCTCTTTGAGCTGTTCAAATAAACTGCAGAACAAGAGGAATTCAGTCTTGTAATTACAGGGACTTCCCTTAGTACCTTCTCTAAAAGTTTAGGACCTTATTAGGGTGGTTTATGTTCTGTGGTATTCTTTTTAATGGGAAGAAAGTTAAGTGAGTTTTTCCTTACCACAGGCAGCACAGTGTCAAGAAGGTGGCCAACTTCATGACCTTGGCCTTTACGTCTGTTTCCTCACTGTAAAACTGGAATAATAATTCTAACCATGAAAGGTTTTGCTTTGAGTCTGAAAATGAATTCATATATAAAAGGGCCTGGCTAGGTTTATACCAGTTTAGTAATTATGGATTTTTCTTTCCATTGTTAAAATTCTGTGTTGTGTGTTTAGTGATCTCTTTAGAGATGACTCAAGACAAAAAGTTCAGTATAATCAATGACATGTAAATTGTCCATTTTAATAATCGTGTGTGTGTATAAATATTTGGAAATGAAAGGCTAACACTTTGGAAGGTTTATGCTCCTATATCTACCATTCTCTTGGTTGCTACCAAATCAGTGACAGCAATGTAGAGTGGATTTATGTTTATGTGAGAAAGTCACCAATGTGTTTCTCACATAGATATCTGAAAGCATGACCCAATTATCAAGGGGTTCTTTAAATTCTATAAATATTATAGGATATTTTTTATTGTATAATTTCATCTGTAACCTGGTAGGTTCTCCCCGAAGGGTCTGGGTGACCAGGGTCTTGGTTGAACCAGGAAGAGTGGGCTGTTGGGTGACAAATTAATGCAGGACTTGAAACTAGAGAAAGCAACAGAACTCAAGTTCCTGCTACCGTGGATCACTGGACAACAGTAAAGGCAACTGGCTGACAGATGGCTCCCCTCTCTGCACACAGTTAAGTAGTCCTCTGAGAAAGTACTTAAAAGTACTTAAAATACAGAGAAAGTACTTACAGCTTAAACCCATGCATATAGATTAAAAATTGAAAGGTCTAAAAATTGAGCCAATACACTATAAATTCTTAACATTCAAATAAGATTTTTAAACTGTTTCATAAACTCAAATTAGTTACATTTATTAATTTACTGGTTTTTGTGATTTTTCTAAAATTATACTAATCTTTGTCAGTCCTATATTTTAATTGCCATTTAAAATGTCAACCCTCCTGAACTGTTACAATGCAGATATTTTGAATATATTTAGAGAGTATCTTCAAGATAATGTGTTCATGCTTGATAGATATCGTTCTGTGTTTTGTGATAATTATCATAGTGTACAGGGTTTTAAAGAAAAAAGTTAAGTCAGAATTTTTATTATTACCTTTTACTTTTTAGTAAGTACACCTGTTGTGTCATAGTCACAATCACCATAAAAGAGAACTGATGTAATGTTGTGCACTGTAAAATAGTCAAATAGTCCTCTGTTGATCGTTAATCTCATGCAAAACACAATTCCTTGAGTAAATAAATTTTTATAAATCTGTCAGCTTCACTCATTTTATATATGAAGAGACCCAAATAGAGGGTATATAACAGCAAAGACCGGGTTTCCAAATCCAGCCGCAGCCAATTATAGTGTGACCTTTTTCGAGTTACTTAAGCTACCTTGGGTTCAGTTTCATATGTATAAAATGGAGATGATAATAATGCCTACTTCAAAAGGCTTTTATGAGCACTCGAAGCTACTCAGATGTGAAGGACTTAGTATATTACCTGGCACAGAGCAAGTTGCTATGAGGTGTCTGTATGTTTGTGGTGAACATTGTATTCATTATCATGTCTTTTAAAAATAACATTTCTTGGTTGCCTAAACCCAGCATGATTCCTGTGACTGTAAGAAAGGTGAAATCATGACTATTTATGCATTTTAATGTCAAAATTTTCATCAAAATATTAAAATGTCCACAAACAACCTCTTGTAGTACATAACTGAGATTATCTATTAAAGGACATATTTGTGCATTAAG